AGGAGGGTCAGCTGTTTTCTGCTCGCCGCCGTTGGTGTGGTGTTGCTGCGTTACGTCGCTGTTTTAGTCAGATGTTGCCCTTGTTGTCTCTGTCGTGGCGGCATCACTTGCGATGCGTGGATGAGTGCATCTAATTTTTCGGATGCCCATCATCACTGCAGGGGACTCAGCTTTTTTGTTTGCCGCCGTTGGTGTAATGTCGCTGCGTCATGTTGCTGTTCTGTCGGCTGTGTCCGTTCTCACTTCCGCGGTTGTATCGTTTCTGATTGGTCGATTGTCGGCGTCGCGGTCGTCGCGGTTCTTGTTTCTCTGTTTGCCGCCGTCGGCGCGCTGCTGCGGCGACGCATCGTTGTTTCCGTTGGATGGATGCGTCGATGTTCCTGCTGCGCCGTTGCTCCTGGTTGCCTGTTTCGCCGTAGGTTTGCCGCTGTCGGCGTGCTGTCGGTGCGTTGTGTCGTTGTTCCGGTTGGTTGTCTGCGCGGCTGTTTTTGCTGCGTTGCTGTTTCTGCTCTGACCTTGCGTTGGCGTCGGTGTTGTTGTATCCGCGCGCCGCCCCTCTCCGCGTCTGGCGGGGTCGCGCCCCCCTCCCCCCCCCCCCGGGCCCGTCTCTGCGCGCCGTCGCCTCTCCCTCTCCCCTCCCCAGCTGCCCTCGCCAGCTCGCGCGGGCGGCGGGCTTGCTTTTCTCGCCGCGCGCTGGCGTCGGCGGGGGGGGTGGGGGGGTGGGCAGAACGCCCCCGCCCACTGCCCGCATCCGTGCCGAGTACGGCACTTCGGCGGGCGCTTCTCCCAAAGCCACATCTTTTTGGCGACCCAGGCGGGCAGGCGGCCCAGGGCCGCGCAAGAGAAGCGCACCCACCACTCCCCCCGCGCCCGGGGGCGCTTCTCCGCGGCGGCCAGCGCGTCCTGAGGACAAACTGGAGGAACGGGCAGAGAAGGCAGCAGGGCAGCAGCAGGGCGCAGCAAGGCCGCAGCAGGGCAGGTCCCTAGCCTGTCGCCGCCGCCCGTTCCTCCAGTCGGTCTCCCGTTTCTGCTTGGCGAGCAGCTTCTTCTGGTCGCGAAGGGAGTTGTTGGCCTGCTCCAGCTGGCCCTATAGATTTTACACCAGATTGCGTGCGCGCGGGGACAATAAGGCATCCGCAGAGCGCAGCAGAGAAGCGACAGGGCGCAGTAGGGCAGCAGCAGGGCAGCAGCGGGGCAGCAGCGGGGCAACGGCAGAGCAGCAGCAGAGCATCAACAGAGCAACAGAGCAGCAGCGGAGCAGCAACAACGCGCAGCAACAGCTGTTGAAGGAAAGCGCAGCAGGGCAGTGGCGTTTGATATGCGCCTGTGTCCTTGGTTTCCAAGAGCATTGTGTGGATGTCGTCCCGCTGCTTCGCCGCCCTGTTATTCTGCCGCAGGGCCTCGGCGACAGCCTTGTCCACGGCCTTGCAAACACAGCCTTCGCACGACGTTTGCTTTCCTTCGCCTTTCGCGTGTTGCTGTGTTGTTTCTACTTGTAATTGGCCTCGGGTTTGCGGTGGTACTCGGCCGTGCCCATTGGTCGGGTTACCCATGGCTGCCTGGCGCCAACGGCGCTTCAGGGGGCGCGTTGGACCTCGATTGTAAAACATACATCAACAATGAACCAATGAAGGTGACATGAATGATAACTGGAATCGCTCCTTTAACCTAGTTCCCCATCCTCCTTCCGTTCATCATATTTTTTTCAGCGCGTTCAGTTCCTCATCCTCTGCAGTCCTCCTCATCATCATGATCGTCATCAGCAGCATCACCATCATTGTCATCAACATTATCGTCATCAGCAACGTCATCATCATCATCATATTCGTCATCATTGTCGGGGTCGCACTCGTCTTATCTAGCTCCTCTTCCTCTTCGCTCATATTATCGAGCTCCTCACTCTCCTGATCCCCCTCCTCCTCATCATCGCCATCCCCCTCTGAGGGTACAGAGGGGCTGGGATCCGGCGCGAGAGAATACTAAAAAGCGTGCCGCCCTCAGCCCGAGGTTGCAGTACCCCGCCGCCCCCCTCACCCCGAGGTTGCACTGCCCCGCTGATGGATGGATGGATGGCACGCTCATCAAGGCAGCGACTGAAAGCAAGCTTGCCAGCCAGAGAAAATCTTGCGTCGATCACTCTGTCGCTTTTACCTAACAGCTTTTGCTGATAGGTTTCTAGTGGTCTCAAAAGAGAACAGCAAATGACTCAACAGGGGGGTCGGGGCGG